GGGGGGGGGGGGGGATGACTTGAGAGGGGAGAAGGCCTCGCTGATTAAATGAGGATTTTATTTTGTCCACCAGATTGTTCACATTATGTTACACTCCTGTAAAAGGATAACTTCCTCTGTAAGCCCTCATTGTCTTTGCCGTTTATTGCCCATCTAGAAGAGGAATAAGCAGTTACGGCGTGGTGTTTTCTGGGATTCTTCAAGGCCGAACAACATCCATAGATATCAGTAAAAAAAATAAAAAATAAAAAAAGGTACTGTACTTTTGGAATTGTAATCTTTTGACACCAATGCCACATGTTGTGCATGTTTTTAAATTAAAAGCAGCACTCTTATTTCATGCTATCATTTTAATATTTTCCCAGAGGTATGTGTGAGGGCCAGCAAGGTGTTTGATCTTAAATTCAAACTTTCAGCGATTCAGGACACGACTGCATCTGTTGAGAACAACCATTTAGCATTATTCAGACACGGATTCTCAAAGAATTGTGAGATCTTTGGATAATTAGACCACTGGGTTAATGCTTTGTCTTTGTCTTGCGTGTTTTCCTGCCAGCTTCTGCATGAGTTTCTTTAATTTGGCTGCTGATTATGGAGGCTGAAGACAGATGTGTAAGATTAGGACCTTAGTTATAGTTATAGTGAGGTCCATGGATTGACGTGGACAGCAGGAGAGGGGTGTCACATCTACATTCTGCCGGTTATATATTGTTGATGATCTGTGCTTATATGACATGTTTTATTCTTAGGTATTTCACCATCTGTCAGTCACAGACACTCGTGTTCTCCTGCCGTTAACTGTAACTCCGAGTACTCTATTGTGAACATTTCAGCATGTGTAAACCATCAACGTTTCCATTAATGGAGAAGTTGTTCTAACTTGGCACAGGCTTTATAAAAACCTAGGGGTTTATGAAAAGTCCAAGTGTATGTTTGGCAGAAAAGGTAAAAACGTTTGTTTCTTTTTTTGTGTGTTTGTTTTGCTCACCCCTGCTAGGTGGCGAGGTCAGTCTTAAGGTTAATGACCTGGGAGCAGTAGAGGAAAGGCGGCGTCCTGCTGTTAGGCCACAGTGTTAGTATATGTTTGTTTTAATTCCCCTTAAGAATCTATGGGGGTCCTTATATCACTTGGGATATTTTTAACATTTGTCACCTTTTTTTTGCGTCCATTATGGCCAGAAATTATGCTTCTTCGCCATCTCTTTTGTTGGTGTTAGATAATAAATCAAACGGAGGTTCCAGCAGCCAACCAAGAAATTTGACAGATTTACATTTTTATTCCAAAAGCGGCCGAGTTTGAGATGATCCCAAACCAAAATATAAATTCAAAAGCATTAATAAATCATGAAAATAAAAAGACATTTAAAACAGATGTTATCAATACGAAAAGAGGCTCATTTTAGCACACGGCATTACCTCCAAACATATTGAAAGATCAAAACAAAATAGACACGAACATTTTCTATTTGACAGATAAAATCAGACTCCGAAACATTCATCATCGCTCTCATCTTTCTTACATTAACCCTTCGGGGCATATTTTGTGGCCTCTGAAGGGGGAGCGAGGCTGTACGACTGTGTCTGTTCAGATGTAGATATATATCCAGGTGAAAGGCAAGGGCACTACTCACCGGCTCAGGATTAATGACAACGTCGTCACCGTGCTGACCGGTGCCGCGATTCCATTGGCTGAATGAAGAGGAGAGGAACGATGGCGGCGGGAGCAAGTGGGGAAATATGAGCGTCCTGTCGGCGGCATGACGGACAGGTCCTCAGTCCCGCTCCCCCAGGTCCGCGCTGTCCTCATTCTTCAGCGGCCCGGTATGGGCTGCGTTTCTGCGGCCAAGGACACAGGGGTGTCAGCAAAGCGTCTGGGTAACATCGTTCATCAGGCCGCATCGGTAATGGCCAGCTCTCTGTGACAGTGGTCATCAGGACACAAAAGCAAAAGGGCCCATAAACATCCCGTGACAGATGGCTGGGAGGACAGCTTTGGACAGGGAGGGAGCGGTGAAGAGCGAGAGATAAAGGGAGGTAGAGGCAGAAGGACTGAGGTGGAAGAGAGATCTCAGGCGGGATTGTAAAGTCTGAGGAGAAGTCTTAAGCAGTGGATGGTTTATGAAGGTCCATGCTGTGAAGATGAGGGAAGGAGGCAACCACTGGGGAATTCCTACTCAGTTAACGTCCGATAAGAGTCACTGAAATGTGCAAACTTTTTGCAAAAGGAGACGATTAAATCAGCCGAAGTGATTAAATATATGTAAATACATTTGTCCGACTGTGAAAAAGCATTTAGTCAAAGTGGATCCTTTGGTCCAAAGGAAATCCCCATCAACAATAGGCCCTGTTCAAAGACACAGAGTTTGGCAGCTTGAAATTTGATTTAAATAACAGTTTTATGCAAAGTTGAATCTCTGGAACTCTGGAATTTCTTCATCTTGCAGTGCCTCCATTAGTTTGATTACATTTCACCAGTGACTGTCGCCAATTAGTGCGGTAAAACCTTACAACCTTCAGCACGGTGTGTGCTGCGTACAGAAATCCAGTCAACAAAAACTCCAACATAAGTGACGTGTTTGCTTAAAAGCTTAAAAGCGAACGAAAATGCGTTTGTGGACAGAGGGAATGAGAGACTGCAGAGAAGACCTCTTCAGACTGGCGAGCCTGCAGCACCGATACGTCAGAAGATTTCATCAAAAGGTTGTTTGGCTCCGCTCCTGACAGATAAGCGCGCATGCATTGGAGGAGCTGCCCAAGGTGGGTGGCGTTTTTTTTTTTTTACACAAATCATGGTCTAAGCA